AAATAGTTGTGTTTCTGAAAAAAAACCTGGCCTACAGGTGTCAAAGTTGGCATTTATGGTCGATATCACATCCCACGTGAATCAGTTGATTTTGAAACTGCAGGGAGAGGACAATCTCATCTGTGTTCGTCACAGTATAATCAAACGATTTCGGCGAAAGTGCTCATTGGTTGAAACGCAACTGGAAGGAGCAAATCTTTCCCACTTTAACTGTTTCAAGGAGTTTTCGCTAGGATCGCCGAAGACGCCTTACTCGAGTTTCCGAGAGCAATTTTTCGAGAACTGAAAAAGCATTTGTTGGAGAGATTTTCAGATGTTGACAGAATTAGAGTGAAATTATTCTGTTCCGGAATCCGTATGATTGTAACCTTGATGAAGTTCCAGCTGCAATAGTTAGAGCTAATTGACGTGCAGGCAAATGACTTCTGCAAACAGAAGCACAAAGAAAGACAACTTGTCGGCTTTTACCGCTCCCTAACTGAGGTTCAATTTCCGGAACTGAGAAAATTTGCAGATGATATGGCATCAGTAGTTGGAACAACCTAGGTCTGTGAGCAAACATATTCAAAAAGGAAGTACGTGAAATTAGCTCATGGAACGCGATTGACTGATGAACATTGGAAAGCATTTCTCTAGACCAGCTGCAGCCATTCCAAAGCAAACGTTGATGATACTGCGAAAACCAAAGTTTCATTTTAAAGCTATCATTTTCGCAGCCTTTTGCAACTTCCAGATGTGTATACATAAGTGAGGAAACTAACTTTTAGTTACGATCGTCTTTGTTAATAGATTTTCGCTTCATAAATATGTTGAATATCCTCCATTTTTGTACTTGCACATCACTCACCCATATTTACAACGGAATGTGCTACACAGTTTGCATTAATTCCGTCACGTATCTACCTTTTGGCCTTTGAGTATTTCGCAAAATCCAATTCGGTCTGCGGCCGTCATTTCGTTCGCAATCCGGCCCGCCTAGAATAAAGCTTGCCGAGTGCTGCTCTAGACCAAGTCATCGCTTGGCCTGCCATCCTCTTCTCCCATCCAGACCCCGGGCGGGCAAACAACCCACGATGCGGGAGTCGGTGTGCTGGCATGCGCAACACGTGGCCAAGCCATCGGAGCCTGGTGAGTGATATAATGGTGCTAAGCGATTCACTCGCCCTTCCTGCACCAAATACATGACGTCAAACATGCTCATAGCTCACGTGGCGTTCCAACCAGACATGAGCTAAGCTGCGAACGCATTGATGGACGAACCTTACTAGCCTCTTTTTGTCGGCTGATCTAATGGGCTCCAACGTAAACTCTGACCTTCAGAGCTAGAGTAACATTCACGCCGGAGCCACAGGTGGCGGAGATTGACAAAAACACCCCAAGGTTTCGCTATACAGTTCGTGACCTCATGTTCAATCCCACGGGCGTTAACACAGCTGCCGAAATACGAAAATTTTTACACGACTTCTAGCTGATAAGCATCAAGGACTGGCGCAAGAGTGGGTCTCTGCCATTCTTGGAGAAGGGGCTTTACATTTCGAACGTGCAAGGTATCGCCCGTAATGACTAACAGCCAGGGTTAATTTATCCAGTGCGGCTTGGCATGTTTGTGAGGTGTCACTGATGGGCGCAATATTGTCGGCATACTCCAAGTCAGGAAGTCGTTCACCTAGGAGCAGCCCCACCCCATCCAAGTCGTGCCCGATGAACGCCGTTTCCATGACTTCGGCAGTAGCGAAGTTAAAGAACAACGGTGACAGCGAGCAAGCTTGTTTCACAGCGCTGGAGATATTGAAGGGCTGCAAAAGTTTGCCGTAAACACTCACACTGCCCGAAACATGCGGGTACAGTGCTCGTATGATATTTACATATTATTTGCACACACTCTCAGTAGACATTTTCGAAGGACACATCGATCAACGGAATCAAAAGAGCCTTTATGTCTAGGAACACGACCACGGTGGGTCGCCAATATACACCGTGGTGCTCCAACAATTGACGTAATGTAAAGATGTAGTCAATGCAGTCTCGATTTCGACGGAACGCGGCCTGCTTCTCACACATCTGGCTTTCCAGTGTACCAGGTAGAAGATCGGTCGGTGGCAGAACGGTTGCAGTATCGTCCACTGATCCCGTTGTTAGCCTAAAGAGTCTAGACTCACCATGAGGAACTAAGTGTAAATGTCGAGTGAAGCGCATTACACCACGATGCCTAGCAGGAAGACCAAGCTGATCACAAACGACGTCCTACTGGTCCAGACCGTCCCATTGTCTGCATCTTACTGAGTTTGCTTTGCACTCACGAATGTTGGTATACCCAACTGTTTAAGCATTGTAATTTGGCCTACTGTTCACTTCCACTGAATGGCCGGGTGGTCGGTGGTGTTGGGGAGTTGCCGAATGTACTTGCCACGGACCGGCAATTCGTGCACTTCTTATGGCACTTGCAGTGTTCAAGGCCGCTGGCGTTAGTTTTCGGACAAGTTCAGTAGCACCGGTTTCCTAAGTTGCTTGATGTTTGGCGGAGTTCGGACTCCGTCCTTTGATCGGTATTGCGAGTATTGCCGAAGGTGCATCGTTCGTTGTACCTGATGGGAGAAATGAACGTTGGACTGCACGTGATTCGATCGACTGTAGTGAAGGATTGATTTGGGGTTCCCAACAGATCTGGCACCACAGTGTTGCCAGAAAACCCGGCCCCTATCTGGCGCTCTTTCGCTTTGAATCCAAGCTAAGTTGCAGCCACTAAATCGTCGCAAGATCGCAATACTCTTAGGATGCAGTTAAAGAGTGGAAAGGTTCTATACGTGGAAAAGAACCAAAGAGAGTAGGGTGAATGTTTGTGTTACTTTACTACCGTTACTATTAGGTTGACGCATGCGACGTGGTGATAGCTGGAATGGCAACCGCACGCCAGTCATAATTTAAGCAATACTTCACATTCTGCAGATCAACAATGGTGCCACAGAGAAATTTGTTTGAGTTCAGTACAGAGAGATATGCAACGGAAGAAGCTGCTGAAAGTCGGCGACTGCAGAGCTAAGCGGTGGACGTACTCTTCATTGACTTCTCCAAAGTGTTTGACTCCGTATCGCATTCTCGTCTTGCCCTTGAGATAAGTTTTGTGCGGTCTCCGGACACGCGATCTAGTGAGTATCAGCATTTCGTGAAGGAAGAGAAATGTGTGTTCGAGCACGCACTAGTCTTTCCTTCCGACAAGCGGTTCGGAGCAGCGTCACACAGGGATAAGTCCTTGATCCGCTGCTGTTTGCTGTGTGCGTTAACGAACTGCCGGAAGTGCTGGGGGCGCCCACCTTTATGTTCGCAGATGACTTGCAATTCTAGTGCACGGTGAGCGACTCTGGTGGCTCCCAAGCTTTGCAACAAGCTCTCAACAGACTACTTGATTAACGCGTTCTGTGGCAGATGCCAACAAACCACACCAAGTGACCAGTTATGCGCGTAAGATCAAATGGCCCGTAGATGCGCTACATGCTTAACGGGAACGAATTACCTCATATGTCCCAAAAAGTTGACTTAGGTGTTACGTTAGGTCCGGAATTCCAATCCAGCGAGAACTGAAAGCGAGCGGCTAGCTAGGGCTTCCGAACCCTCTGGATGATCCGTAGATCATTTGGGATGCTGACGGGAATACGTTCATTAAATTGTTTACAGCCTTTCTTAGACCACACCTGGAGTACTGCGTCCAAGCTTGTCCTCCTTGTCTGACTCGTGACAGCATGGCGGTACCGAGATGATCCGAGTGCTGCAGCACCTGTTCTACCCTGACAGATTGCTCAAGAAGCATGTTCTCACCACACTATCGTCGTCTTCGTGACGACTTAATTCTTTCTTATCGTATACTAACAGGTCGGATCGGCCCAGACCTATCCTAGCTTATTCATCTTGCTCAGTTGCCTACTCTTCGTGGGCATACGTTTGCGTTTCACAAATTCCGATGTGATCGGGTTCAGGCTGACAATCGTATTTTGCGTAGAGTGATAAATTCCTGGAATCTGCTACCCGAGGACGTCTTATTTGCACCTACGGTTGCAGAGTTTAAACGTCGCCTTGACGCCCTCGACTTGCAAATCCGAATCTTCTCTTACCTTAATTTTTCTTCCTATTGCTCCTCAGTTCCCGTCCTTCTTATTTACTGGTGCTCAATTCCTGTACAATTTTTGTATCTTTCCCACCTTATGTCTAGACTACAATCTTACTCTTCCTTTTCTTATTGTGTGTGGCCGGTGCAGCGGGGCCCGCTAGTGCAGGGCGCGTGGGTCTTGCTTGGTTGAGCAGGACTTGCTCTGAACCTGCTTATTTGGCTCAACAACGTCCCAATGGCACCTGAATCTTGAATTTGGATCAACGATGAATTCAGGATGGAACGACCATAGAATTCTCCTTTGATTCCTATCCCATTTGAATTCGAATATGAATTTGCAGTTACGGAAGCCTGAACAGCCCAATAACGAGCAATGCCGGTATGATAACAAACAATAAATTCATTTGAAGTGAGGCACATGTGGCGGTAATTCATAAGTGTTACTGCATTGCTATTGCATTGCACATTCGCACTTGGTGTGGATAGGAGTTCGTTAAAAATATGATTTTCTGTGCCTTGGTGGTTCGATATTACATTCTGGTCGAAGCTGGCCCTGAGTCTATTCTTAGTGGCCTTATTTCAAGGACTACCGTAGTCCTACAAAGAGCCAATTTCCGTTGTAATCTTTGCCTTTGAAAACAACCGGATGTTTTGTTAATCTCGTCATGAGCTAGGAATGGATGCACTCAGGTGTTGATGTACAACCGGTGCGCTGAATTGCTAACTGTTCAACGGCGCAAATTGCTTTGCCGGCAGCGGTGAGATGAGACACAGACGCCAAATATATGCCTACGATCGATCGTGGAGCACACCGAGTCGTTTGGCTGTGAGAAGTGGACGTAAGCCAGACACCATGGCCGCAATGAATGCGTCATGCCTCGACCGCATAGCAAGACCTAGGGAACGCACGTCGTTCAGCTCTGAGAACTGGACGTGAGCCGGACACCAGATTGACACACTGAATGTGACATGCTTCGATCGATCGGTAGTCGACCTTCATGCAGGTGAAAAGCCAGCAAAGGGTTTCCTGCGAAATGTGTCTCTGTGCTAGCAACTGAGAAAAACAGCCTGACCGTATGTGATGACCCGTCGATGGGCGCCGTATTGCTATCGCCATAAAAGTTGCTATCGCCTCTTGACTGGCTTCCAACAAACCCGTAAGCTTTAATTAGGCTGCTTTCACTGTTAAAGGCAATCATACTGCCGGGAGCACATTATAAGATTACAGTGTTATTCGTTCCACCATTTAGACCGCGTGTGTGTTACAGATGAAAATTCCCCTTCATGGGTGCATGAAAACGAATTTTTGACTTGACTTCAAGGGACAATTCAACCTTCTTCCACAGCCGTTTGTGTGGTACACCATCAAGTACTTGTTCGAGGTCTAAAATCAAAATTATTATTGCATAAACTGAGGCTATGGATTCTGAAGTGTAGTCAAGATAGTGTAGATGACAGTTGGTGTAGGAATGTCTATCAAGGAAACCATGTTGTGATGTGTTAAACAGGTTCAAGGAATTCAGGAATTCCATCAACGTCTCCTTGACCACACTTTCAAGTAGAATGTCAATGGTGGGATTATGATAAATCGGTCGGTAATTTGTAACATTTTGC